CGAATTGTGGTTAACGTATAGCATCGCTGTGTGATCCTTGTTTATTATCAATTTTTAATCACATTCCTTTGAAAACTAATTTTACAGAAAGTAATACAAATTAAATGAAATTAAGTTTATTAACAAAAATATTAGTTATGAATACAAGTAATGTATGAAATGAACGAACATTTTAAACATTATTTAATTGTATTTAAAATCAATTAAATATTTAAAACATTTTTACTTTGAATAAAATTTCTTTGCATTTTTTCCATAGAATTCAATGTCCTTTAGTTTAGGACTTTTGCCAGTAATTAATATTATTAAATTATTATAAATTAACTATGATAAAAATTTTTGTAATATGTAAAATTTAGTATAAAAACAAGATTAACAATTTTTAAATGACAATAAATTGTAAAATATTATTACTAAAAATTCAATAATAATTATTATTAGAACCTTGGTTAGTTTCCTAATTACAAGTAGTGTATTACTGTTAGTGTTTGAAAACATTTATAGTCAATCACGGCCATGGAACTGCTAGAATTTGTACTTGGTTGTACTCAAAACATAAAGTTAAAGTTGAAATGATCAATAATTAATGTAAATGTTTATGCCATTCGGTAATTTGTTATATTCCAACAGTTTAAACAACACAGTGACATAAAAATAACAATTATAATTTAAATTACATTTCTCACAATTGTTTACTTATACAAATTTATTAATTAAATATCTTATGGGATTTCAATACAGAAATACAAGTTTAGAATAATATAAGAAACTCAAATAAAAGTGCGCCCAAAGAGTGCTAGTTGGGATCAAGTAGGAATATCTCAAGTAGATTAACCAAAAATGCGCTTCATGCAATTCTTGGGTTTGACGCAAATGTTACCATAACGCTCTTTGAGCACATAACCATGGTGGCATTTGCAACCGGGAACACACGAACCAAAGCAAAAACCTGGATTCTTGAAACATGTCTCGGGACAGGCGCTGGTGCACGAATGATACCGTCCATTAACGCACCCTGTACATTTAACAACATAAGTGAATTAATTTGTTTAACAATTATCATGATCAATTTAATAGAACATTAACTTACGTTCGGCTGCTTGCGAAATGCTAGCAATGGAGACCACAAACAACATGGTTACAATTATATACCGCATAATTACACCACTTTAATTATTTTTGTTATAATAATGCTTAATTCGAATGTTTAAATTATTTTATCAATTTCCCAGAATATGCTCTTCTTTTTATACTTTGTAAATCAATGTTAAGTGTTTTACAGACATGTATTTAATCACGTATCTCACCATGGAGGAACAGGATATTAAAATTAACTCTTATTTGTTTTATATTTGTTTTTTACATAATATCAATAAATATATTTTTAATTTGTTAAATAGAAAACTAAAATTTAAAAATTAAAATAATTGTAGGTAATTTTTTAAACGTTAATAAATATTTATAATTTCACAATATACTGTATAAAGTTGGTTTACAATCCGATTTCCTATAGAGTGGTGCCAATAATAACTTTAATTTCTA